AACAAAGGTAACAAACATAAAATCATAACTCTTACAATTCAAAGGCTGTTCACACATTTTTTAAAATGATTTTGCTTTGCTATAAAAAAATCGTCTGAATGAAAAAGCATTCTAAATGCAATTATATTTTTGAAAATATAAATTGTAGTTTTCTAATTGACAGTTTTGTTTACATGCAAAATGGCACATTTCAAGAAAAGCTTTTTTTAAAAAAAAATTCCTACTATTAGCTTACACTTTCCCTATATCTTGTTCAAATTTTCAGTCCTTAATAAAATACTTTTTTATTCATTCATTAAGTCCAGATACTTTTTTTTTAACTTGTAGTGGAATTCTCACATGCTGTAAAAATTAATTTTGTAACAACTTATAAATAATAGTACATGACTGTGATAAATTTGATTGTAATATTTAACAAAAATAAGTTGCAACAGTAAGACATAGTTCTAAAGATTTTTAAAGTGTATGGAATTAAAGAATTGTAATTTTATAAAGTTGGATGAGGCGGATGTACAATGTCCCATTATGTAGCGAAAACTCTCCCCATATTTCTATGTTGAGGTGATAACAATATATGTTTAAAATATAACCCTTTAAAAGGTCTCTTGCTTCACAAATGAAGAATGCAAAAAGAAACTACAACACAACGAAAGCGATAATTAAAAAAAGAAAACCTTCCTCCGAAAACTCTTCGCAGCAGGTAAAGCATATGTCGCGTTGAGTCGTGTGAAATCATTAGATGGAATATTAATTGAAGAACTGGACTGTTCAAAACTTACTGGAAAGGTTCTTTGCAATAATAAAGCATTACAAGAGATAGATTGTTCAATGTGATGGAAATAAAACTTGATTCCCACCCCTCTTTTTAACGTATATATATGTACATATTAAAATATGTCAAAGAAATTACGGCAATATATCAAAAGAAAACAAATCTAGGTATGAAATACCAGGAGAGTTTTTACATCAAAATAAAAAATTTTAAAAAAATAGTTTGTCCTCATAGTAGTTTTGGAAAATCTGTGCTTTCTTAACAAAAACCCAGGCCGCTCAGAGGGTTAAGAGTACTAAAACTTGGAAATTATTCAAAAAGCATTTGAAAAATTGAGAGAAGATACAGAAGTATTACCACTTGTTTGTTTAATAAATGAAACCAAACACAATTTAAATACTTTTATTTCTGACAGAGTAAATGTTCAGTTTTTAATCAGATCACGGCACATTTCCAATACAAGACATTGTTATCTTTGCACATTACATATAAAAACTGGTATTATATCAAAGACAGGTAAAGATTGTCACATTTTTAAACAATTATCATTTTCAAAGTTGTTATAAATAGTACTGTAAATGAAATTATGTACATATTTACAGATATTTACAAAAATACAGGAAATACAACCTTTATATTTCCCACTGGAAATTATGCAACTTTAGGGCAGTTAAATGCATATTTTGTTACTATTTTTTAAAGAAACATATGAATGCATTTAAGAAAGAAAATATCTAAAAAACTGACAATATTATGGAGCCTAGAAACTGAATTTTTGATTCTGAACAATCAGTTACAATGTGTGTTTATTTTCAAGTACATTATCAAGCTTTTATTGGGGGGGGGGTCTTTTTAACAATATTTCATTCTCAATTACTATAAATATAAGTCAAAAACAAAACTAAGAAGCAGATTCTTAGAATCTAAATATTCTGCAACAAGCAGATTATCAAACATCTATACACAATTTTGTATATAATCTTCTTAGTTTCAAGATAATTTATCAGTAAAATTTTTAAATATTTTGATATTTTTAACTACCCAGTTTCTTAGAAATATTAGAAAAACACAAAAGTCAATTAATTAATTCAGCAACTAATGCATGTCAAGAAAACTAGCATTAAGTTAATAAAAGTAAACAATAAAAGTAATTATAATTCCTCAACCAGTTCATCCACATTTTAAGGGAAAATATAAACTATAATTAAAGTCATAAAATATAATAAAAAATCAACTGCTTGAATTTTTATTTAATGTCTAAATATTTACTCGAATTCCATTAAAAACAATAAGAATGCATAACAATCCCATGTTTTTTAATGTCATTGAAATTACTGGGGAGGGGGAGTGCGAGAAATTCTACCATTTATCAAAAGCTTATGCAATGAGTAAATCTTACTAACAAAACAAATGAATACGCAAAATTAAATTACTGCTTAAAATGATGAATACTTTAAAATTTTATTGTAAAAGTTTTAGTTACATATCATGAATGTTGATGCCTGCATGATGTTGGTTAAATTAAATAGCTTTCTCTTTTCTTACTTAAATTTTAGTAATGCTGGTAGATTTAAAACATATTTACCACTTCAAATTGGAAATAAAATGTATACTAAAAAATTAATTTGATTTTAATGTACTGCATAAAGCAGGAATTTCATTGAATCACACATTCTGACTGCAGACATACTGAACTCATATTAAATGGAGTTTGCCATTACAAAATAAAGTTTCAAATACTGAAATATTTTTTTTCAGACAGCATTTTGTGTTTCTTATTTCCTTAACTATAGAGGTACTGACTCAACAGTTACTAAGCAAAACAGTTTACAAAAGCTGGAAACTCATTTAAAATTTATAATAAAAAAAGTAAAATATCAAATCCATTCAGTACAGCAAATACCAAAGACCAAGAATGTGCTCATTTTGAGTCATTAAATTTTAGCCCTCAAAAATTAGCAAGAGGCATATTCAAAAAAAATTTTTAACGAATGGCAAATTTCAACTTTTTTAGAAATAATTTCAACAACTAACAGTTCACTGTTCTTCAAAGAGAGCATGAAAGTTCTCATCAGCTGAAGTAAAAATTTTTCTGAGCACTATGCAGTTTGCATAAAATGACACAAGTAGCAACTCTGAACCAGAAAAAAGGCCTAAGATACAAATATTTTTAAAAAAGGATAAGAAAGTTTGGAAACAGAGTATGGAATTTCCAAGAAAATAAACTCAATTGAGGAACATTTTTGAAAGATTTTTAAAAAGAGTGGGGAAAATTGAAGAACTACTAAAAAAATCAACAATATTATTAAATTAGTTTTATGATATCTACTCCTATTCTCATTTAAACTTTGTTTTCTTAAATATGAAATTTTATAGCTTGATGTTTACATAATAAGCCACAATATCATAATTTATTTCAATTTCCCCAATGATTTAAATCAGATCAAGGTGCTTCAAGGAACAATGTGATTTATTTCTGGTGAAAGGAAAATTTTTTAAAAACTTGATCAATAATAATAGCAATGAAATTTCTGTCAAAAACAACACTAATTAAAATACTACATTGTTCCAAATATATACTGATGTCCAAATTAGAGAATAAACTTTTTTTTATAAAAAATACAAAATTGAAATAGGAACATACATGGGAAAATAGTAATGCAACAGCAATGTGTCAAATATGTAATTAGTGATGGTCTTATCCGAAGATTACCTGAAAGCCATTTTTCAAATACTAAATTACCGTTTTTTAAGTACAGTCAAATATCGAAAATCCGCCGAATGCTCCAAATGCTTAAAAAAAAAATGGGAGAGAGACAAACGGAAAAAGATTTCCGATATTATGTATAACTGAAACTACATTATACGAGGGTTGGAACTTTAACAGTGGCAACACAGCTGAAAAAACGCTACGCAACAAAACCAAAGAATATCGCGTATACCACGTAAACTACATACCTACCTTACCTCTCAGCAAAAAGACTCGTCCTGCCTACGTCACACGCATGCGGAGTGGCGCGAAGAACGGATCCTTGTATTAGCTCGCGGTCTAAAGTAAGTGTTGTCAGGGTGTTTTCAAAACAAGAACAACGATGTTGGATAAAAATTGAATGTGCCAGAGGTCGTACAGCACGACAGTGTCATCAAGGGCTTCAAGAGGCTTGCGGGAAATCTGCATTGCCTTACAGAACCGTAGCAAGATGGGTGAAAGCATTCAATGAAGGACGCCAAAACGTGGCAGACATGCTGCGGCCAGGTCGTCCGAGTGTCAGCGATGCAGACGTGCAAGCTGTTGCAGCTCTAATGGACAGTGATCGCCGCCAAACGATTCCTCAGCTGGCCGGACAAACAGGATTAGCACATACGACTTTGCTGCACATTCTGAAGGAACGCCTGTCCATGAGAAAAATTGCTTCACGATGGGTTCCACATCAATTGACGGAAATGCAGAAATGGCTACGATACGATGCTGCCCAAACCCACCTGAAGCGCTATGAGCGCGAAGAAGATTCTTTTTTACGCCATATCATTACGCTGGATGAGACTTGGGCCCGATCGTACCAGCCAGAACTGAAACGCCAATCAAACTAATGGCGTCATCACGGGTCACCACGACGTTCGAAATTTCGTCAGAACCCCAGCAATGTGAAAGTTATGGTGATTCTCGTGTACGACTGTGATGGTGTCATCCTAACGCATACCGTTTCCCCACAGCAGACCGTCACTGTGCAGTATTACTGCTCATTTTTGGAGCACAATCTCCGACCAGCTTTGAGAAAAAAACTTCAACACTTTCTGCAGAACGCTCCTCTTATTTTGCATGACAATGCTCGGCCGCATGCAGCGCAAGCTGTGACTGATTTGTTCAAGCGATGGGGCTGGGAAGTGCTTTATTATCCACCATACTCCCCAGATCTAAGCCCTTGTGACTATGACTTAATTCCTAAGATGAAGGGACCACTTCATGGCACTCGCTTCCAAACTGTTCCTGAGATTCTTGCGGCAGTAGACTGGTCCATTCAAACTATCAACAAAACAGGAGCTGCTACAGGTATTCTGCGACTTCCACATCCTTGGAAACGGGTTGTACACAATGCTGGCAACTATATTGAAGGACTGTAAAACATGGTGGCATGAATCACTTTTGTATTCCTTGTAAATAAATAGTTGCCACTATTAAAGTTCCAACCCTCGTATGTAAAGGATCTACAAAGCAAAAGTATGTTTCGAAGTCCATTAAACAAAAAGTGGAATGGCTGCAAAAAATGGATAAAGGCATATCCTTTGTTTGTATTAGTCTTAAAGTTAAAATTTCTTTCTAATTCTCAATTCAATTATAAAATAAGTTTTGTTAGACAGATCAGAATCCTGGAAGTTAATAAAGATAATAGAAAATTTCTCCATTCTAAACAAAATGTTTCTACACATTTCTGCAAATTTTCTGGCTGCACATTACTTCAAATGCTACATTGTATGCAAAAACCAAACCAAAATCTACAGTAGAAGAAATTAAATATAGTAAATAAAATTGGATAAGACTTATACTCAGAAAGTCAGCCACAGAATATTCAAAAAAATGGCTTTGACTTGGGTCTGCAATGGGAGTAAATCAAAAAGCTGATTGAGAAGAACAGAACAGTAAAAAAGCTGAAATGAATAACATGCATAGAGGAATGACAGTAACAAGAAAATGACAATGGACTGCATGAACAGGAAGAAACAAAGAGAAAGACTAAAATTATCAGGAAAACAGAAGAAAGAACAACCTGGATGACTTGGATGGAGATAAGCAATAGAAGTAGCATTGGATCACAAAGGATGAACAGCAAGACTAAAAATCTTTGCACCGGCTTGAGATTTATTATAGAAACAAATATCTTCATCTCACTATATACAAAATGGAAGTTTAAAATGAATCAAATATTAACATTAATAAAGGGTTAAAATTTGCCATTTAATAAGTATTACTTTGCTGTGAAATAAGAGTTATTGTAATGGAGGAAGAAAATATTTTTTAAATATATCACAAAACTATAGCCAAATCTGCCAAAAAGAAAGGTTTTATCTGTAACAGATAACAGTTCTTTACTTTTCTGGAAAACATTTCACAGAAGAAAATATTTATTTGAAAACTGAAAAGAAACCAATTTCAGTCTTTCATATCACTGGTATCAAGTCTTTTCTTTAAAGGGGGTTCACAGCTATCTTCACTCAGTTCATCTTGTTTCACCATTATTGAGCCATCTATAAAATTAAAATTTAACTGAAACTCATAAGATAACGCAGAACTAAACAATAATTTAAGATTAAAGTTAAATACTGTAAAAGCAAAATACAATATGGAACATAAATGAATATCTAAGAGTTTTAAATTCTTTATGATTTCCAAATATTAAAGGAATTTATTATCAAAAACTCATTTTCCCCCTCTTCTTTTACCAACGTAAGAATTTTAAAAGCATAAAATAATTCTAAAACACCATTTAATTATATTAATGTCATTAGTCAAACAGTCAAACCCACATAAAATTTTATTTCGGAATGAGCTATAGCCAAGCAGAAACTAAGTGCTGGCTAGTGAATGCATAAAAAGCCCCATTTCAATCAGAAATTCTTATTTTTCTTTGTATATCACAAGCACTGACCAGAGGACAAAAAACCACTATACTCTGGTAGTTCAATCCGGGTTTAAATCCTAGTAAATGGGTTGGTTGCATAGATGTTTTAATTATCCTTACCATGTGTAATAAGGATATGACCCAATTTTCCACTACCCTTAAGCACAAGGCCACAGTATGCTTTTCATAATCAATTTAATAGTGATTGGACATAAAATGACAAAATATTAAGTTCTAATGCATTGCATTCACAACAAATGTCATTCAGTTAACTGCAAATCATTTTCAGAAAAAGCACAATCATCAGCACAACAGTAAGAAAAATTTTCTTTTCTGAAAGGTTTTCAGATTTTAAATTACGTTCAAAGGGGCTTTTTTTAACATTTTATGTGTTACATTTATTTATTAAATGTCACGATCTTCGGACTTAAACCATTAAATTCAGTTCAACAGCAATATCGCAAAATAGTTTTAAAATGAGCATATCTTTAGAATTTCCAATACAGAGACTCGCGCACTGAAGATAATTTTTTTTTCCTGTACAATGTTGCCATTGCTTGTTTTGAAATCTTTGAGTTTGTTAATCAAAAATTCATTAAAGTTTTACAAAATATGAAATCAAGAATAAAACAAATTCCAAATTTCAAATTTGGGCTTCCACATGCCTAAATAGAAAATCAACACATCAAAAATTCCAGTAAATACAAAGTATGTATCAGTATATCAAAGTATGCATCAAAAATTTCAGTATGTATTCAAAAAAGGGGGGAGGTAAATGGCCAAAAAAGAAACTTTTAACACAGCCAAATGCTAAGTAAAAACATCATAATTTGCACAATCTGGAATTAATTAAACTATCATCAATGTTTAATTATTATTTGTAGCTACTTACGAAAAAGATGTATACATATAAGGCAGGGAAAATATTACTTACTCTAAGCATGTTATCTATAAAATGTCCATCGAAAAATGAGGACAGAAAATGGTTCTCAGAAGAAATATTAAGCAGAGTTACTATTGGCTACTTTTAATCTCGTCAAGTAATACAGACGAAAAGAAGTTTCTAACACTAAAAAAAACTGTAAAATATCAAATTGTTAACTAAATAAATAAATTCTGGCAAAAAGCTAGGAAAACTGAAATAAGAAAACTAAAACAAAGTAACAAACACTTTTTTAGCTGCAAAATCGACTTTTAAAAATAAAATGACCAATTAGTCAAAGTAAGAGCCAGAATGAGAGAAAATTGATACATTACATTACATTAATACAGTACATTGCAAAATTTTCAAATTTTTACATGCTATAAATCGTACCCTCCTGCCTCATCTCTCCTGTTAAGTTTAAAAATGGGCTTCATTATGTAATAAAACATTCATAGTTCATTGAAGACTCCACCTTTTTTTTAAGCTGTTTTTTAAAACTGACTTAGGAACTTGATCAGTAGTCAAAGTCTGTGAAAGAAATCAATGGTTTGTTGCAGTTGCTCAACTTCTGAGCAAATATTTTTTATACAAACTAATTGATTATAAAATTATAAAATAGTATTTCTCATCACATTTTTGCAAATGCTAGTGAGCCAATTAATAAGCTTAACAGAAGGAAAGCTGAAACTTCTTCTCTTGTCAAAGTCTTACTTCATGGAGATTGAAAATGTTAAAATCAAAATAATCAACAGTCATTTGATCTGAGTTGGTTTTATTATGCCTACAACATGAAAGGTAGATATTGTCAAATTCAATGAGACTAAAATTGTTGAAAGTGATACCATCTATACATCTGTAGCTGAAAGAAAATTTCTGCAGGTCATCATAAAAAACGAAAAAAGAAACTTGTAATTTTTTGCAAATACGTAGATTTGTAAAGAATAATTAATTCCCATAAGGGATACCATTTATTTGAAGATAAATAGTACTCTGAAACTTGATGTAATTATGAACAAAGAGCATTTAAGATATTCTTTTCAACTAAAAGTATCTAAATCAATAAGCATCTATGGAAATAATTTAGGTAGTTCTAACAGACTGCTATAGATTTCTTTAAATAGCAGTGATGTGTAAAAAGATTCTCATGATTTCAGTGATACGTATAGTCACAGCAACTGATATCAAGCACACTGATTTCTTTAACTGCTTTAAAAACAGAAAGTTACTATTACTGATCCAATTAAGTGGTAGTGTTTATCTGCTTTTTCAAAAATTAGTTTACAATTTTTTTTTTTTTTTTTTTTTTTTTTTTTTTTTTAAGAGAGAAATTGTAGTCAAAACCTTTTTTGTGGTTTTTAGTGTCATTAGCTATAAATCTGAACTTGATCAGGTTCATTGTTATAATTTAACTAATGTAATTAATTATTTTATGTCAGTCTTAGCAGCAACTGCACAGGATTCTAGATTGGAAAGTCTTCTTTTCAATTATTTTTTTTTTCCAATACACACAGTCGAACATCAATAAAAACATGTTATAGACCCACCAGGCTGGCTGTCTGGAAATTGAGCATCACTGCTGTTCTCCATGCTCAAATTGGTAGCATCATCACTAGCTGCTCTTGAATCTTGACTCAAATCAGCAAAACCTGAATAATAATGAGCTGCTTGTAAATGAGAGCTCAAAGCATTGATTAAATCAGCAAGACACAATACAGAAAAGAAAAAGAAAATACAAAATACACGGAAGAAAATAAAAATTAAAAATAAACAAAAAGCATTAAGAAGACTTCATTATTCCACAGGTAAACTACTTCAAAACTAATATTTTATTAAAATGACATTAAACTCGATATAATAACACTCAAATTCAATTAAAAAGGGATATATAATTTAATTTAATCCCGTTTTTATAAAACACAAAGTTTAAGATCCAGTCTCGTCAGGACTCCAGCAATTCCAGATTTGGGATTTCTCCCAATATAAAATCATAAAATTAAAAATATGAAACAGTGATTCATGAAACATTGAAGCATTTGAATTTTTAAGAAAATTGAAATTTGCAAGAAAAGCTTAATATTTGTTTGGTTTTTTAAATATTTCTTTTAATATAAGTTGTTCCCCCCCCCAATACATTCTCTTTAATTTTAGAGATAATCATAATTTCTTATTCTGCTACAAAGTTCCATTACTCAATTTCTATAATTGTCATGCCAAGAATTTACACTAAATTGTCAATCAAAATTTTTTTTATTCCCAACAACCTCTCTTCACTTTGTTCACTACTGGTTATGATATTTTTTGGATTTAGAACCTTACTATAGATTCTGCTATCCATTAACTGATTGATGATTGGGCATTTTCATTGCAATGAAAAACCTCTCCTGTATCATCTTCATTTATTGCCATTTCTCCACAGACTCTATTAATGGAGAAATTTCTCTTTTGTTTGTGGTATCTGAAAATTTTCAAATTTTTGGCTACATCATAAAGCTTAACTAACGTCTGTTGTACACCATTAGCAATGTATCATGAGCTTGGCTACTAAAAACATATTGTTCCGATTGGAAAAAGGCAGCTATGGATGAAAATTGTTCAACAGATTTATGCTAATAAATGATTGTTTCTTCGATATGGAGATATTTTATTACGTGCCACAAAGTGAAATTGAGAATCAACATTCTTCACATGTTTTTTGTGAAAAAATTATCAAATGCACAAGTGTAAAGCGTACAAGAAAATTTCTAAAAAAAAAGTTGCTAGTAATTTGGAAGTTCATTTCAACTCACTCTGGATACTAGACACCCAGATTTCAGACTCTGTACTGTAATAAAGAAAATTACACTAAAAAATACAAAAGTTAAACATTGCAAGGTTTAAGAAAAAAAAAAATTCCACAACAAATTTTTAAAAAAGAGGGGAGGAAGAAAGCTTTCAGATTTTATATTACCCCCAAAAGGGCTTCTTCTAACGTTTTGTGTGTTACATTTATTTATTAAATTAGCGTCAGGGATATATTATTCGATAGGTTAAAATTAATCTTGGTTTAATGTAGAATGTTTTGTTTTCAGACATGTGTCAAGGAAAAAGGCAGCTATGGATGAAAATTGTTCAACAGATTTATGCTAATAAATGATTGTTTCTTCGATATGGAGATATTTTATTACGTGCCACAAAGTGAAATTGAGAATCAACATTCTCCACATGTTTTTTGTGAAAAAATTATCAAATGCACAAGTGTAAAGCGTACAAGAAAATTTCTAAAAAAAAAGTTGCTAGTAATTTGGAAGTTCATTTCAACTCACTCTGGATACTAGACACCCAGATTTCAGACTCTGTACTGTAATAAAGAAAATTACACTAAAAAATACAAAAGTTAAACATTGCAAGGTTTAAGAAAAAAAAAAAATTCCACAACAAATTTTTAAAAAAGAGGGGAGGAAGAAAGCTTTCAGATTTTATATTACCCCCAAAAGGGCTTCTTCTAACGTTTTGTGTGTTACATTTATTTATTAAATATAAAGTTCTTCCCACTTAAGCCACATAACATTCAATTCAACAGCAATATTACAAAATATTTAAAAACAGCATATCTTTAGAATTTCCGATACACAGTCTCGTGAGCTGGAAATACAAATGTTTTTTTCATACAGTGTCACCATTGTCAAGTTTGTTAACCAAAAATTCGTTAGTTTTATCAAATTTGAAACAGATAATAAAACAAATTCGAAATTCGGGCTTTCAAGTGTTGATGTTCATTCGGAGAGTACGTTATTCAAAATTTGATGGCTCTAGCTACCACTGCTTTTTCACAACTCAAGAAACATTCATGCAGATTCTTCATTATTTAGTTTCTTTAACATGGCGATAATCTTTGGTGGCAACAGTTTGTAAAGTGAACCAATACAGAGAGCGAAATTATGCAAAATGCCATTTTGAGACTAATAGCCCAACGTCCCTTTGGGCTAAAAAAAGCATGCTGAAATGTGGCATTTTTATTTAACTAATCTTTCAATCTAAAAGGTAAAAAAATGTGAAAATATGCAAGACATGTGTAAATGTGTGATACAGTCAAAAGACTTTAATCTGGACTCGTCGGGACTTCGGCAATTCCGAAAAATCGGATTATCGATTTTTCCACATTATAGCTCATCAGTTTAAATCTGTAAGATGGCATGCAGAAATTATAAAATTAAAAATATGAAACCGTAATTTATGAAATAAAGAACAATTATAATCTAAAGCATATCAAAAAGTTAACAAAAAAAAATAAAGCTTAATATTTATTTGTTTACTTTATTAAAAATTTCTTTTAATGTAAGTTGTTTAAGTTGCTTCATTTTATGTGATAATGCTTTCTCTTTAATTCTAAAAACAGACATAATTTCTTGTTCAGGTACAAAATTCCGCTGTTCAAGTCCTATAATTGCTGTGTCGAGAATACCGACTAATTTATCAATCGAAATTTTTTCGTTTTCAATAACCTCTGTGTCACTTTCTTCACTATCGGAAGCGAATTATAATGACTAGGCAGTGGCGTAACTAGAACTTTTGGGCCCCTATGCAAAAAATTTTCCTGGGCCCCTTTCCCAATAAATTTAATGTGCTTTAAAAAAAAAAAAAAATCAAGGATTCCAGGAGGCAATGTTTTCATGATGATTTTTATCGCATCTGGATTAATTGTTAAAAAATAAAAGCACGTTCTTAGAGGGAACCAGTTGAAAGGTATGTAACATGAAGAAAGAATAAAAAGGAAAATAATTTCCCTTGACCAACTGGTGAAATAAAAATTTGCTTTAGTCTGGGTATTTGACGTCAGATGATTTTAATTCAGTTACTTAACGCTTTTTGTGTGAGTGCGAGAGACAGATTTTTCTCTCCTTTCACTGAGATGCATACTGATAATAAATGAATAAGTCTATATAAAAAAAGGAACATGTCGATGTATAGCATTAAAAAAAGGAAGAAAGCCTAGATTTGCAGAGATTTTTATATAAAATCCAAGAAGTTTTACATACTAATGTTTTAAATTTTTATATAAAATCTGCGCCTACCTAAGTTTTTTCATTTAAGTTAGCAAACTTATAAATAATTAGTTATATTATAAACTGACAGACATTTGTTAAATATAAAACATATTTATCATAAACTTCATAAAGAAAGCTATTTGAACATACAATTTTTGTAGAAAATATGTATGGTAAAGTTTATTTCCGTCTTTTTAAAAAACCTCTTGTAAAACTAAACTACATGAACACATGATTTTTATAAAAAATATGAATGCTAAAGTTTTTTACTGTTTCCTTTTAATTTTCCTCAGTCCGTACAGCTCTTCTTCTCTAATTTTTTACTCCCTCAATAAGTGTAATGATAACATTGGTGGCCAAAATTCATCATAAAGAAAAAAAAAATCCTTCTTTTAAAATTTGCGTCTCCTAACCTTCATTTCCGCAAATTATATTTATCAATACTTGGACGTCCATCCATTTTCTCAGCCATCTCAGCTTCAACAACGCTCAATAGTGAAAAGGTTTGACAACCGATCTTTATGTCATACTGTTACTTACTTAAATATGTTTTTATTAGTTACAATATTGAAAATGACCTCTCACTCGTGGCTGTGGTTACAGGTAATGATAAATATAATGTAAGTGAATTGCACACTCCCGAATAACTGCTTGTCATGTCATAATATTTTACCATTGCTAATTTAGCTAAATCCTTAAAGGATTTCAAATTTTGGATTTCTGTTCTGAAAGTATTTATAAATAATAAAAGTTGTACTTTCAGTGCAAGTCTTCTTTATATGTTTTCTGTATTTTGAAACATTATTATTAATTTCCATATTTGTTAACAATGACAGTGTTTTGGGTTCTTTATTTCTTTTTTATTTTCCAAATTTAGTTTCTCTGCCCCATTTATTTGCAGTAAACTCAGCTTCTTTCATAATGCCTTAAAACTTGTTTCTCATATCTTGCATATTAATAGAAACGCTTTTTAGATGTTGATGTGCTCCATTCAAGTCGATTAATTTTCGATTGTCAAGCCGATTGTTTGGTTGATCGATCCTGCACTATAGCGCAGGATGTGTTTAAAAAATTTTGTTTTTAATTTTGGCCTGTTATGATGTTTCTTAATGTATGGAAACATAGATTATATTTATATTTCATATTTATCATAAAAATATTTCATGTTAATTAACAATACGTTATTAATATTAGGAGACATTTGCATTGTTAATGGTGATAATTTTGGATTTTTCAGATAAATGTATTAAAAGTTTAGCTGAATTGAATTTTTAGCTAATTTTAAATTATAAGAATTTAGTTTATGATTGATTTAGACATTACAAATCAATAACTTACCCCTTTATAATTAAGAATTATATTTGAGATCACTTTGAAATTTAATTTTAAAGAAAAAAAACTTCTGTTTGTTCTCTCCATAGACTAGAGAAATGGCATTAGAATAACAGCATGTTTAATTTCAGTTTACTGTTCTGAGTCATCAGCCAATTTACAAGTATACTTCAGGGGTAGCATTTCACACTTCAATGCAGATGTTTAAGGAGGAAAGGACCCCGCCTCCACTATAAATTTCCAGTGTCTTCCCAAGTTGAGTCACAGTAAAACTTTCATCCAAGACTTTACTGTAAAGATGTCCATTTCCCTTTTAAAATGCTGAAACATCTGTTGTTTTCTTTTTCCCTTCAGTCAAATTGTACTATTATTATTGCCATATTCCAATGATACACAATACATCACCTGCAATATCTTTCTACATTTCCTCTGTACTATAAATGCATTTCAGTTAATCTATATTTATTAAATATTTTGACAGTAAAAATTATGGATATTCGAATATTTTTAGGAAATTCTTCACAAGCTTACGATGAAATCATAAACAGGTAGAAACAAATTTTATTGATATGTATCCAAACAGCTTTGAAAATGATTGTGTAATATGAAATGGAAATTTTAAAATTAAGCACAAAATACTTATGGTATGAAGATTTATCTAAAATTAAATACCCACTATAGCAAAATATGACAATTCCCTTCTAAGTTTTAAGATCAAAGAAATGTTTAATAATTTAGAGTTAAGCTTATTATGATACTAACGTATATTTGAAGATGAGTACTCACACTCTGTCGCATGGATTCTAAAAGTAGTACACATAAATACTGTTTAGGAAACCAAGTAGAAAGTTCTTTCATAATTAGTAGAAATAAAATTGTATGAAACAAGTTTTGCGTACTTCGTAGAGAAATGCGCAAAACTTCATTTAATGAAAATAGGTTTGTTGTACTCCAGGTGGATCAGAAAGCAAAAATTAGTTAGGAAAATTAGTTAGGAATATTTTAGGAGCATTAATAATTATGATTATTGTTATCTGTTTTATTTGTGTCTTAGAAAGCTATTTACGTCTCAGAAATTAATGACCTCAGATTTCCAGTTTTTACATTGCTTATAAATTAAGTAGTATCAATTTTTTTATCTTAATCATTAATTTATTAATGACAAAAATATAAAAAATAAATATAATGTATGAGAACATATATTAACGGAAGCTATTTATGTCTTAGAAAAGTTACGCAGTTATGCCGAAATGAAAGAGAATAATGTACAAAGGGATTTTATGAGTGAAAATCGCATCTTTACTATTAAAACGTGTTAATTAATTTTTTTAATTTGCAAAAATTATTGAAATATTGCAATAACGGGGCAGTATTCTTTTCTGAAATATTCCATTCGTTTGTGTAGTGAAAATAGCAATGTAATTCACGTTCTTTCAGATGTTGAAATGCAACTTAAAACTATTAGGGCAACGCTGCCATTGATATGTTTAATATTTTCAGTGATTAATTTATCAAAATTTACGAAGTAGTATATACTTTTAATTGTGCGATGCCATTTTTATTATCATTATTATACTATTATTGATGATTTCACGTACTGAATGCTGTGGAAAGTAAATTAAAAGCAAAAGTAAAGTAAATTGTAAAATTTCATTTCAAATAACGATTAGAAAGTACTCCACGAAGGCGTTCTTCCTCTTAGGCAAATAGTCCTCGAGTGCTTTATTATTATCTAATAATTCATTTCAATGCCGTTTAAATAATGTACAAATTATTGCGCATTACTCAATTATACGCTTAAATGTTTCACGTTGTTAAAATAAATTGTAATTTATTATATTTTTTTCAAACGAAGATTTTCATATGAAGAGAGATTAATATATTACTTTCAAAACAAATTTAAGTCTTCGGAATTAATTTTTTTTTTACAGATAGTGTGAATTTTTGGTAGATGGGTAATTTACAGGTTAAGAAACACTACAGCTCTTCTCTTTTCTAAAGCAAATCAAGTAAATCCTCAAACGAGTTCTGTGCTTTCAGATTTAATTCTCGATTAGGGATTTTAAAAAAAAAAGAATTCCTAACCTGCATTTTATCTGCAATGTGAGAATATTTTGAAAATTTTGATATAAAAATTGGATAAATATTTATTTACTCATTATTTCAAGTAAAAATATTCATCCATTCCATTTCCTACCCCCATGAGTGAAAAAGTAATGAATTTCAATAAATTGAATGAAAAAAATTTCATTAATTTATGCCGGAAATTAACTGAAATATTTGGCCGCTTAATGTTTGAGCATCTGTGTATTCGTAGCCTGTCGTAAAACTCCCCACCTCTTTTTTTGAAACTTTGAATTCATTCAAAGATCCCTAAGCCGAACGGGAAATCTCTCCTTTCCAAATATGGTGCCATAAATTCTTTGCGTTTCCTGGACTAGAACGGCATTTCGACATGGGGTTGGGGCAAAGTCCTTTCATGCCACAACTGCTCAACTTACATCAATGATTTTGTGTCCTTAAGAAAGAAAAGCATGTATTCTGGAGTTAGCAATTAATACTTACGAATGATTGCCCCATTCAGCTTATTAGTGTAAAAACAGAGAAAAAAAAATCAATCTGCCTTTAACTTTGCCATTTTGTAATGTCAATCCTGCTTCTAAATCCAAAATGTTTCTGTCCTTTACCTTGCCTCTTGGTGCAACTGCACAGGTTGAAGTACCATCGTTTTTTACATTGTGAAAACTATACATTCAAACATGCAGATTCTTCCTTATTTAATTTCTTTCAAAATAATACAGGGTGAAATTATTTGGTGGCAACAATTTGAAAAGTGATACGCCGTTTATAGCGAACCAACAAAATACATGTTATATTAAATTCTAAGAAACATTCACATTAATCAAATCCAATTTCAAATTGAATATTAGGACTGATTTTTGGACTTACGTTTAATGGAAAAGCTAGTAAGAGATTCAATATATAAACACAATTAAACGCTACAGGAATGACATATTATGAAAATTACGAAATGTGCAAATAATATACCACGATTTCTCTTAACTTGCAAAGTTCATTCCAAAGTACCAGAATCCTGCCTAGTTACTTCTTTGATTTATACTTAGAAAATATGTCTACTGATTATTCGATCACTAATGCGAATTATACAGAAACAAATTATATATAAAATAAGTACTTTATAATAAATAGTTACAATTAATTTCCATTTCCACCGCTTTTTCATTTGGGATTGCAAAAGGAGAAACCTTTCCTTTAGGGGGGGGATCGCCTTTAATAATTTTCAGGTTTGAGACTAAGGAATACAAAGGAACTTTTCTATTTTCCGCTCACTGCTATCCCTAAACTGGGGTAGGTCATGAAGTTATTATTTCATAGCCGAATGCTGGAATTTTAACTTTTGTAAACACTTGAACTTAGCTGTTTCAGGTGCTTCCAAGGGCCTCCCTCCTATCTGTGTCATACAGAGCATCCTATCTGTGTCATGCATCATTGCACCATATAGGAGAGGGACCCTTAATAACTTAAAAGAAAATTAATTCCATTATCTACATATACTTAAAGATTCTAAAGTTAAAAGTAAATTGGAATCAAATCAAGGCTATTCCTCAACTATATTAAAATTAACAATCGTATAAAAGGGGTTTAACACAAAATCAAAACATATCAAAATTAAAATAAGAATTTATAGTAGTACAAATTCTAAAAATAAAAATGAAAAGCAAAGGAAAAAAATTACAAGATAAAAAATATAAAAGATATAATTAATCTTTTTATAGAAATTCTAATTCCGAACTCATCAAGGGAAAAGGAATTAAAGCTTCTATATATATGTAATGGAATCCGTCTTAAAGTTTAAACACGTAAATGTAGTTCAGCAGGACATTGAAAGGGCCCCCTAAGCTTTCGGGCCCCTATGCTTTCGGGCCCCTATGCGACGGCATTCCTTGCATACCCTTATTTACGCCACTGTGACTAGGAATTTGATTTAAATCATATCGTAGATGGAGTACATCGAGATGAAATACTACATTTAGTAAGGAATTATAAGCCAAATAAAATAAAAACATCTGCCCTGAAGATAAGGATAGTGCTGAGACATCAACTTTCACTTCATTGCGCGCAGCGACGTTTTCCCACCCCCACCCCCGTAGAGCAGCGTGAAATTGATAAACAGATTTCGGAATGGGTAGAAAAACAAAGGCATATCCATTTCTTGCAGCAATTCCACTTTTTGTTTGATCGACATCGAAACATGCCATCACTTAGTAGATCATTTGGCAGCTCCAGCATCGGAAATTCTTTTTGACATAATATCGAAAGTTCAAGCTTACTTTTATAAAATTGCTCTAACAGTCTGCAAAAAAATAATAAGCTGGATCCAATTCAAAGATTAAGGAACAACGCAATCTGCAACATTAACTGAATTAGATAATTTTAGCTTAGCTTATACCGTCCGTTATACATTAAACACGCATGCGTAAATGCATATGTGCATGCGTGAACGCATTATGCATTGACACATGCGCAGAAAGTTTGTAGCTTTTAGGTCCGGATTATAGATCATTCTGGATTATGGGTGCCCGGATTAACGACTTTTGACTGTATATGTAAACAATTTTTAAAAATAAGAAAGAAGCATATTATGATGTAAATAACTATAATGTATACTTATGTGTATATTTATTTCAACCAAAAATTATACTGGATTATTAATTTTTTTAAGTTAGTAACTCCGTAACTTTTTCTTCCCTTTAAAACAAGTAAAAAAATGAAACTTTTTTTTTTTTTTCATGTAGAAAGGGTATGGGCAGTACAGTTACAGCAAAAATGTTATGAATACTAAATATGCACATACATATTTTAGAATATGACGAAAATATCAAAAATTACTTCTTTTTTTAATCCTTACCAAGACTTGACTCTTCCATTACACTAGATATAGAACTAGATTCTCGGGTACACATGTGCTTGCTTTCACTGCCAATTGGAGATGCTGATAAAGAGAAAAAAGAAAGTTTAAATCAGAAATATAAAATAATAGTCTAATAGTAGCTAAAACTACACATCATAACAATATCATAAAAATTTTTAACTTACAATATTACAAAAATAAGATTTAACACAAGCATCTTTTACAGATGTTATACAGTAGGAAAATTTTCTGATCTAAAATTATAAAAGCAGTCACCTAATTTATTATGAATTTGAACATCAAAAGCCTACATTTAGAATAAAAATTTTTTAAATGCATTTCAGTCATAAAAGCTGAGATATTCCATAGGTCTGATTATAATTATGAAATTCTGACTAACATGAAAGTTGGGGAGATGTCACCATTTATTCTGGCAGAAGTTTAAATGAAAATATTCTTCTTTATTTCAGTTAAAGAGCATCCAAATTATGAATATAGCATATAAAAACTTCAGTTACTCATCATAATTTTTCCCATTTACATCACCATTTTTTATCCATTTTCAAAGTTGCGTATCATGGCCTTTTTTAATCCTAGATCCTGTAATTTTAAGAATACTTCATGCCACCCCAAATATGAAACAGTTTTCAAAATGCATTGGAAAATACAAATTATATCATTCTATACAAAATTAAACCATCTTATTCAGAAGTCAAACAACAAATTAAACCATCTTATTAAGAATCAATTGAATTTACACTAAACTAAAACAAACTTCTTATGACACTGTTGAGACACTATGCTTATTCATTACTAGCACTAAATCACACTACATATGTTTGGCAACAATGTATGCATGTTAATAGTATAAGCCCTATAACAGCATTAGAAATCCCTCATTTACTATGTCTTTCAGATTTTTTTTTTTTTCCTAAAATTCTAAAATATTTTAGTTACTTAAGCTTTCCAGTTAGTTGAATGCCAGATAATCAGGTCTTTACTGTGTTGATAAGTGATTACACACATACTGATCCACGATATGATTATGACCACACCTACACTGTGTGAGCATGCTTGCTGGAATGATATAGATGGCACATAAGGTGAGAATTTTATTTTAATGGCTGTAGGGATACTGAAGCATCTTTTTGCTGATTGTGATATTGAAAAGTCTGATTTCAGTGACTTTCATAAAGAACAAATTGTGATAGCCAAAGTCTAAGAATGATTACCTCTGAAATAGCACTACTTTTTTGGTTGGTTATGAGCTGTCACTGTCAGTTCATGACCACCTACTAGGAGATCCAAGTTATTGAACTCTATGCCTGGCAAACAAATGACACATTTGTTTCACTTGAACATAAAGAGGCAGCTACTGATGGCTCAACTGGCAGCTTAATATAATACACGTCTAAGTACAACAGTATATGGGCCTACAGGTCATCGAACTCTATTGGATACAGACTGCAGACTCCCCTCTCATACAAGGTGCGCCAAAAGGTTGTTTACAAACTTTGCGTATCGGTCTGCCAGATCATGAGAAATAAGTTTTAAATAGGAATTTGTGTCCAAAAAACAGTGTGCTACAGCAACATGACTGACATGCAAAGAAAGGAGGTCGGGAGCAGTATTAACATAACTTTATTAAAAAACTTAACACTACAGAGGAAAAAAATAATTATGGTTACAGAAAATGACCAAAATTCCTTCCAACCATCTCATACATAAAACAACATCCAAACCATCTCATACATACAACCATCTCAAACCATCTCATACATACAACCATCTCAAACCATCTCATACATACAGCCATCTCAAACCATCTCATACACACTGCCTAAAATCTCAATACATGCTTCACGATGTTCATGCATGATTCACAGACTTGTTCAATTGGTCAGGTGAGTTATGGACACATGCCACTGCTTCCATGATCCTGTAGATGAAGCTGAAGTCAGATGTTACAGGTGTTCCATATAATAGAAACATCATGTATCCCCATATGAAATCCTTGGGGGTAATGTGAAGGAATCATGTTCCCTCAATTTTCCACAGCAGAGCTTCCTCTAGCAAGTTTCAGTATAGTATGTTGCTAACTGATGAGGCTGCTTACTCAGCAAGTACAAGCCTCACTTAATCTGTATTGTAATTATCCAAACAACAGATGCTTTAGCAGATGTTTGACTGAGAAGAGCTATCATGACATGTGCCTCATAGCTTGTCCATTTACATCCACAGACCATTAAATATAATGCATATCAACCAATTCCTCATTACTGAATCGATGCATACTTCTCCAGCAACATCCTTGCCCGAAATGATTTCTCTTTCCACTTCCCTGCCTCTAGTAGCAGCTAGAGGGTTTCACACTTCCATTGTAAAACTTGTTCATCCTGGACAGACAGACTAGTTAGTCAAGCACCGTAAACAACCTTTTGGGACCCCTTGTGTACCTCTATTAATCCAGTATCATCAATGTTTCAGACTATAGTGAGCCTGCATGATTGAACCACATAGGACCCTTGTAGAATTGGACCCTTGTCAATGGCTGTGTCAGGGTGAATCATCTTCCAAGCAAATAGTTGACTATACATGTAGTACAACACATAAACAGGCCAGTGATGGAAATATTACACTTCAAATTATGTTCTCATGTCTATCTCTGGGACTGGTGTTTGTTACTGAGCACACCATCACAGTTTTAAACTATGCTAATATCACAGCTGGCTGAATCTTTTAACTGGATTTTGTCTTCACAATTGGAAATAGACTCTTTCAGTGGGATAACACACCTTGTCACCAGGCCAGAATGTGGCTACAATAGTTTGAGGAACATGTTGATGAACTCCAGTTGATGTCCAGGCTTTTACACTCACCAAATAATAATCCTACTGAGCACATCTGGAATGTCATGGAGTGCCAGTTCAGAACTTACCACTTCCTCATAATAACTGTACCTCTGCTTATAAATCTAGTAAAATCTTCCTCCAGACACTTGCCAAAGACTCTTATAATTTATACAATAAACAGTTGCAGCAGTTTTGTGTGTCAAATGTGGAGTAACACAGCATTATAAAAGTGATCACAGTATTTTGGATGATCAGTGTTTAATAAGGAAGTAACTGAACTTTACAGTTTTACCCAACAAAAATGTTATTCTAAACATTCATAAATATATATATATATATATATTACCATATAAATGCAAACAAATTATCATATAACACTCCTCCATTACATGTCCCTCTCCCCCCCCCCCCCAAAAAGTAAGAAATCTCTTCTTTCCAAAAACTTCGACAGCCTGGCAGAAATACATAACACCATGAAAAGCTGCCTAAAATGATATCTTAATTTATATGGTTTATATATTAATAAATTAATATTTTGTGACCATTAATAATTGTTACTGCTCATGTCTTGTAGTTGCAAGCATTGAACGTCACTGATCTTTCAAGTCACAAATCCTGAATTGCATTCAAAGCAGATGGTCTGCTGAATCTACAGTAAGTGTTACTCATACAGTAAGTGTTATGATCTAAAACTGCCTCGTTAATAAAAATCATTAACTTAAACTACCACAATAAGTAACTAAATATGTATAATAAAATATACTTCAATATTTCTAAGTGAAATTTACAAAAAAATAAATCCATGCATAAATAAGACATTTACAAAAATAAACAATCCATTATCTTGTGGTGTAAAAAGTATTCGTATACATAATGTTGAATATTTTCATAAATATATTTAAATTAATACCTTGTAGGATATCCTAGCATGAATAATAGTTTCAAGTCTCTTTGCCAATGATTCAATTAAATTTGTTGTTATTTGAGATAGATATGGACTCCCATTCTTGTTTAAGAGCAGTTATTAAGTCATTTTTATTAGAAATGTTCCTGGATCTAATATTTTTGTGAAGAATTTTCCATAAATTCTCAATAAGATTGAAGTCAGGCGATTGAGGAGGAAATTTCATGAACTTTGGGGTGTTATGTCAGAGCCAGGTATTCAGGGCTGTATGCTTGGGGTCATTACCATGCATGAAAACATATTCACTATCCAAACCTATTTCTGTCAAACTAAACAGTAAATTATATTTCAAAATATCAATGTTCGGCAAATGTTTCATAATGCCATTAATGATGACTAAATTAGTAACCCCGAAAGCACTCATATAGCCCCAAAACAACACTCCTCTATCTCCATGTTTTGTTGTTTGTAGTAAATTCCTTGGATGCATTTCTGTATTCCATTTACTCCACACCATCTGCCTGCTGTCCGATCCAAAAATATTGAATTTACTTTCATTTGAAAAAATAATGTTCGCCCAGAACTCTGGGCTTTCATTCACATATTTTTTTCCAAAGGATAATCATAACTTCCAACTTCTCTTACTCACAAAGAATTTTTGTCTCAAATTGTTTTCTGCACACATTTCAAATTGTACTTATGGATACTGCTCTTCATATGTCTCTCAATTCTGCTGTATGATTCGGAGCACTTACTCTGAGATCTTTCTTTAATGAACATACCAGAAATCATCTTTCAATAGATGTAAGTAGATAGGGTCATCCTGAACAAGCACTATTTTTACTGTTCTAGAAGTAATAAGCTTTCGAATAATCGACTTCACAGTTAGTCTACTGACTAAAACTGACAATTTACTGCCTTTACAAAGCTTTAAGATTAATTCTTGTTTGGAAGTACTTGTTTCTTAACCTTTACAACCAACATTAAAATTTTACATTTATTATCACATTTGAAGTTACACCAGTCATTTTATACAACCTGCAAGATAAATGATGTCAATTATCGAAAAAAAAAAAAAAAAAAAAGACTAAACCAATTAGAAACTGCTACTTAAATTTTGCATTTGTTTGAATGTACAAATACTTTTTTACGCACCAATAAATTCCAATTTTTAGTTTCTAAAAAGAATTAATTCTTAAAAACTGCATTTATTGCTTTTAAATCCCATAGTTTCTTATACTACAAAGACATATTACATTTGAAGGTAAATACTGTACAGTTTAATGAATGGCAGCATGCTGGCACATTGATACTAAAAGTATTTA